GCATTCTCTTAATCTGACCTAATCGATTTTATCGTAGGATCTTTCTTCTTATCATCGTTTGTGAAGTCATCCTTCATGATTTCATCATTTGGAAAGACTTCACATTCCCCGGTGGTCAGGTGATAAACTATTGACATTGACAAGTCGCTCTCACAGGAAACCGTCTTTATAATTTATGGACCAAAAGGCAATACCTTTTATAACTTCTACTTCTGACACAAATCGTTGGGCTCACGCGACTCGAAATGGCGGGGAGTTGAGATATCCAAGGGAACGCTGGGGCATATCCGCTGCTTCTCCAGATAAAGAAGTCAGACCAGTGATGGTTGTGGCTCGGCTCTAGAAAAGAAGGTGAAACACCCGTCAATTTTTCAACGGACAGGCCAACGACCACGAAGACGGTCAAGAATGACGTGGGGCAAGTGTCACGATGGACTCTTCTCGAAACTCAGACAATTTTCTGTGCTCGCTCAGACGTGCGCGAGATAAGGAACGTTAGATTAAGTCTGATGCTATGGAATTAGCGATCTCAAACTGTAAGTGGATCATACAAATAACTGACTTCTAGCGCACAGTTAGAGTTCATTGGCCAATTGCGAAATTAATACACATTTCATTAATGAATTAACGATCAATTAGACAGTCCCCAGTTTTCATGCTGAAGGAAAGCTTTGAATGTCTTCTGTCTCTGGAGACCTAAAACTTTAAAATAATCATCTTTCACTACGTGAAAATTAAAGTGAAAATAGTAAAAATAAAGAGTCTAATGAACGTTATTTCTTAATAATTTTTTTCTTAAATTATCCAGGACTGAATGTACTGAGCGTATAAGCTCGGGACCATTTCTGACATTAAAAACTGTTTTTAAATCATTTTGAAAGTTTTGGAAAAATTTGTCTATTGATTCCTTAAATAAAAGTTCGAATAAATCGAGTTATAATGTTATCTCAAAGAAGTTAAGTTGTCCCCAGTTGCAAATCTCGATGTTATGTGCCGTCGCGTACTTTTTGTGACTCGTGCATATCCTGCTCAATATGGTGTCTCTGCGGTTCTCGTAGCTCAAATACTGAAAAGAGCACGAAACGGTTTATTCACACAAAACCAAAACAACTGGATAATTGAACGACGTACAGACGTTATTGCCTGTGTCTCATGGACCCTATTCTTCTTCAAGGAAAAGCAGTTAGATTTGGTAGGTCCATTCTGTCATTCGCAGTAGTTCATACTGTTGAAGCTAGAACGGCTGACCTCCCGAAGCTAACTCTACCTTGAAGAAAGCGCTGAGACACGGGTCGGAATGACTGGACTGGTCAGTCGCCCGAGTGTTTTGGTTGAGCATAAATAAACCGTGCTTTATGCTACTTTCGGCGTTTAACCAAACACTCAATCTCCAAATTCGAATGTTCAGACCATTCATCATGTTGTTCGTCGAAGAAGAACCTCGCGAAAAAACAAAAATATGCTTACTTCATTATCCTTGGCAAAAAGGTTGACTGGGCGACCGTTCACTTCCGTAATGAACCAATTCGTTTCCGTCTCAGGGTTAAAGAAGCTAGCCGAACGGGGTGGCAATCCGCTGTTTGCCGCAATGCCACCGTCTACGACACTCACAACCTGAACTCGAAACTGCGACATTAAGCCGACCGGCAAACGTTCAAGTGTGATACGGTACCTCGTTTTTGCCGTTCTTGTGAATAATACCGAGATCCTCTTGATCCGCCGTGCTCTTCTTCAACAGAAATACCTTTCCGAGGGGAACCCGTTTGATCAATATCTCCACCTAAGACAACAAGCAGTCAGTAAAACTTTCGTTTCTGCACTTTTCATAATGAAACATGCTACAGATCATAAAATCAAATTACAAATAGCGAATGCATTAACCCTAGTTTCAAGGAACAGACGCTTGTAAATATACTTCGGCGTAAGAGCACGTATTTCTGTTTTGTGAAACTGTGAAACATATAAAAACAAAATTTCTGAAATCACCGGTGATGATTTACGCACTGTTGCGGTCACTAAGATGATATGAAGGGCTTGAACAGATGTTCCTGCAACGAAGGAGAGAACAGCAGCACTGATTTAAAGAAATAATGAGAATTATGTAGCAGAATTAAGGACGTAATAACTCTATTTTTTATCGGTTACAAGCGACATCAATAGATGTGGAGATTGAGAAAAAAAGCTGAATCTGTTAGAAAAATTGATTAAGCACATCTTATTTATTCTGGTACATGAGTCATCGTATAGGAGCCGAAACACGGTAGCTGAAAAAGTCGATCACGACGACAGTATGCAACACAGTGGAATATGGAAGAGATAGATCTGCATTAGAAAAGGAGTAATCCTTCTACGACGCAATGCCGAACAGCAAAAACGTAGAAAAGCTTGTGCAAATGATTAAAGGTGATTTTAACAAACTACAAACATATTATGCGAAGTTCATCAGTGCAATGCAAATGTCGAAATATAATGCAACAGTTTTCTGCATAGATGATAGCTTATATCCATAGGATCAATGAAGTGATAGAATACAAAACGAAAATCTGATTGGACAGCTTGTATGGTTCTCTACAAACGAAGGAATGAAGCAGAAGATGAATGCGCATAAGTATGAAACTACTAAACACACGTCTGGAAGCAACAAGTGTGGTTTCGTCTAGTCCTCAAAGTCGAGGTCTGCCCCACATTGCTGATGCTGTTTCTCATGCATTTATCTCGTGAAATTTTTGAAACACACATCTGGCACATGAAATTAACTACGGCTAACCCGACCAGCGGTATCGGAAAAGTTATGGAAATGAAAAAATAAAGAAATGAACAATTTCAGCCAAAGGCTCTGAAATTTCTTTAAAAAAAACAAAACAAAAGCGCAATAATTTGAATCGATTCTACTTGAATCCAACTCAGCTATCACATCATCGTCTATCGAAGTAAGTTCAATAAACTTTCAGATTTACCACAAATTCGCATGACTGTGACGCACTTGAAATATCTGAAAAGTAGCTCTACTACTATAATTTCTACACTTCTTTTTGCATATTCGATTATTGAACCGAAAACATTTGTTCTTATCAGGTGTTTCAAAATATTCATAATTAGTCACACAATTAAGTTTTAAAAATGACATAGCCTCCGTCGATCTCGTCTACTTACTTCAGAGGTT